ATCACATTTATATATCTTACTGTAGTGTGTACTCTAAAGTAATTGTAAGTTTGGTGGAAAATTGAAGAAAAGAAATTAACATACAAAAATTATTCCTTAAAGAATTTACAAGACACAGTTTACCTAATGCAGGTAACTGGAATAAAGCCATCTATATACCAGCAAGTTCACACTTTTAGGTTCAGTTCACATTAATAAGAACATTTAAAAGGAGATTATTTGATCACATAAAAGAAATTGTTCTACTCTCATTTCTTCTAAGAACCAGTCAATGTTGTCTTTTTTTTTCCCTCTTTGGTGATGTCTTCTTGTAAAATGAAAGATGTAGAAATTAGAAAAGAAAGAGAAAATAAAAGAAACAATCTATATGTATTGTTGCAATGATTTTTAATGTGTTCAAATATTTAATTTGTTCAAATTTCCATAAAGTTTGCAAAAAACATGTTTCCCAAACACGAATGCAAGAACAAAGTGCATCAAATTGCTATAGTAAGTTTTAGATAGAAAAACTTGATAATTTTAAAGTTTTTATTTACCTCATATTTATATCCAAATCTTGAAATATATGCTATATTATTTTTGCATCATAATATCATGACATTATGTCTGTCTTTCACATAGTGAAAGAAAAAAAAAAAAAAAGGAGGAGGGCTGGACAATCTATTAATTACAAGGTAATTGGCTACATTGCTTTGTCCCTATCTGTTCAGATGGTCTTGGGAGACAAAGTGAAAGTTAAAGAGAACATGAGAAGTCCAGCTGCCAAGCCGACATGACAGCCAGTTAGTTGGGGGCAATGCCACTCTCAGATCAACCTAAAGGTTAATAACACAGATGCAGTCAAAGGTCTGATGGATAGAGGCTGTGAACTCTCTCTCACTAAGTGAGCAAGTGCCTGGAGGTGGCAGAGGGAGAGGCCTATCATCAATTAAGCATGGCAGCCCATTTTTGTAAAATTGTCAGAAAGGATTATTAAATTTCACATCTTAGTTTGCTTGGGGGATAAATCAAATAACACTAAAGGTTGCATTTTAAAAACAATGTTTAGTGCAAACTCTTGCTTCTAGCCTCATGTCAAACCATCAAGGAGGTGCTGTACATTTGATTCATGCTTCTCCTTTTTTCATTTTTGAGCCAAGGTATGTCCTCATAATTATTATTATGCCCAAACATTTTTTAAATCTGATTATTATTTTTAGTGGAAGAATTTCATAACTTAGGGAAACATCTAATTATAAAGAAAACAACTTTAAAGTTTGAATATGAGTGCAAGTGGCATACTTATTCAGCATGTCAACTGGAATCCACAGTCCTCAAAATAAAATTCCATAACAGACCATTAGCTTTGTTTCTTTATAAATTTCCTTATTTACAGTAAATTCAGAAAAATATGCTGTGCTAAGTCACACTGGACTTAAACTGGTCTGACTCTTGATGTGCTTTTTTTTTTAAATTCAAGATTTGATTCAGAGGATTCCATCTAGTTAGATTAAAATTTATTACAAATCAACTTGATTATTTACCCTTCTATATTACTAAATGTTAAATTTTTTGTCTTTGTCAAGTCCCAAAGAATGCCAAAATTATTTAGTACTACATTGGAAAATTTTAAAAGACCCAATATAACACTTTTAAAAAGGCAATTATAGTGATACCACAATCACTACTAAGCTATAACAAGTTCTCAGAATATATAGAAAATCATTCACAGTTTTTCCACCACACACATTTTCATACATAGCATTGTTATGTAGTTTTAGTCCCTGTTTACTAACTTAATGTGCCTTTCCTAATACATTATTAAGGAAGTTATTTTTCTCTAGCATTGGATTAATATTACTCCATGCTTTTTTACTTTTTGGCAACAATGTATACTCAATTCTATACTAGGATACACTCAGCTTAATGATCTATTTGATGGACATCACTAAAACAGTTGCAAACTTGATTGCAACACAATGAAATGTTACACATCAACTTGCGGTGGTATGCTGAAAAAAGCTCACAGTATACCAGAAAGCTATGAGAAGTAGGTGAAAAGCACTATTCTATATACTGATATGAAGAAAACGATCATAGAATTCTAGAATTATAAGGCATAGAAGTAATTTAGGCCAACACTCTAATTAAACAGGCCAGGAACCAAAAACTAGCTTTGATAAAATTCTGAAAATGAGTTGGCACCTACACCAAGGGTTGGACCTGGTGTTGTGTACACCGCAGCCCACTGTCTTGCCTAAGACCATACAGTCCCCAAAGCGACAGGGATACAATGATAATAGTAGTATTTGCATGTACCTATCTGAATCAAAAAATTATGGATCAGCATTTTATCTTAGTAAGCTTCTCACTTATTAAGTGATTCTTTGTGCCCTCCCAGCCCTACGTATATCAGCTTAGATAGAGAATAAAATCATTTGGTTGCAGTGCTGAGAAAGTTTGCATTTTATGTTCCAAATGTTCCACCTAGCAACAAGTAAATGTAAATTAATCGGTTAACTGATTGACTGCCTGACTGATAGAATAACTAGTTGACTGATGGTCTGATAGACTTTCCAGAGAAGGTCAAAGTCATGATTCCCTACAGGCTCTAGTAAACTTCCAATGTCAAACATTATTGACAAAGCTGATATCTGGAATACCAAGTTACTCAGTATCTTTAGGGAGACAAACTTCTAAAAGTAACAGAAATCTCTTCAAATTTTCTTAACCACACCACATTTTTCTGTTTTACAAAATATACTGATTTTTAAAAAGTAAAGGATGTTTTATTTTTTATTTTTTAAATGTTTTATTTATTTCTGAGAGACAGAGAGATACAGCGTGAGCAGGGGAGGGTCAGAGAGAGAGGGAGACACAGAATCTGAAACAGGCTCCAGGCTCTGAGCTAGCTGTCAGCACAGAGCCCAACGCGGGGTTCGAACCCAGGAGCCATAAGATCATGATCTGAGCCAAACTCAGACACCCAACCAACTGGGTCACCCAGGTGCCTCTAAAAATTAAAGGATGTTTAATGTCTAAGAATAAAATTATTTAGAGAGTAATTCAACAATTTTTCACTTAACCTCTCTGGAACTAACTGGTAAAATAAAGGAAATTATTTTGGAGTAGAGACTGAATTTTCCTCCAGAATTCATTCTCTCTGTGTATCTTTTATAGATGAGCTCTATGTGTCAGGAGCAGATTTATCTTTTGAAAGTGTTAAGGAGAAAAAAAGGAAATAAAATAAATAAATGAATAATTTCCTAGCTCCCCCTTCCCCAGGGCCTTGGAAGAAGCTCTAAAGGTTATACCACATTAATTTCGCAGTGATTCCTGATAATTCTACCTTAATCAATTGCATTATAAACACACATTATTTTAGTAGGGCTCCTGGTCTCCCAGATAGAGACTACATTTCTTAGCCTGCTTTGTTACTGTGACTATCTGACCTTGTTCTAGCCAAAATGGGTACAAAAATGATACTTGCAGCTTTCAGATAATATCATTTAAAAGCCCTGATTATTTTCCATTTTATTTTTTCCTTTTTTCCACTGGCTGGGAAATGGCAATAGCTGGATGTGGAAAATGGCACCATCTTGGACCTGGAGGTAGAAACTCTACCTTGAGTCTGGCACAGCCCTCTTGGAATCACCCCATGTACTAGATTTTCCTTGAAAAAGAAATAAGCCTGTATTTTTTAAAGAAAATATATATTTGGGTCTCTGTTAGTATCTAAGCATATATCCTAATAAATATAAATACCTATGTATAAAATTTTTTGAAGGTCAAAAGATATAGTGCAGGTAAAATGCTTGTATACGGTACTCTGCAAATACTAGCTTTCTTGCAGATAGAATTTTTTAACTATCTAGTTTTGTTTAGGCAAATAAGTAATCCTAAGATCAATAGAGAGATTAATCCTTGGATAATTTTAAACCAAAGTCTTTCTAAAATTTAATTCAATAAACAGTTTCTAGGTTTAAAATAAAATTACTTTAACATGTAATCTAATAAACAGTTATTAAGTGTCATCATTGTGCCAGGAACTGTGCAAGCATCAGAAATACAAAATTAAATATAGTTTAGTATGGTAAGCATACTAATTGAGCATGTATATGTGATAGCCTAGATGCAAAAGTGAAACATAATTGTACAGTTATTCAGATAAGAAAATATGAGATAAGTATTATTTCCTTGTCTGCATAACCATATGATGTATTTAATTTATGCCTTCATGTTTTATTAGTTGTGGTTTTTCAGTATATAACTGAATTTCTATAATAGAAAAGGTGATACGTTTTAATTACCATCAGGATCTAGTATATGTATTTTTCACTATAGCAATCATGTTCTTACTTCTTTTTTTTTTATTTTTCAGACATTTATTTTTATTTTTATTTTTTTTTTTACAAATAGTTTATTGTCAAATTAGTTTCCACATAACACTCAGTGCTCATCCCCACAAGTGTCCTCCTCCATGCCCACCCCCCCCACATCCATCAGTTTCATGTTCTTACTTCTAAACTATTAAGTAGTGTGTACAATCGATTCAGTTTAATCATTATTGTTTACTAAAAATATAAGTTGACAGAAATTTACTTGTGTGTAGATAATTTTCAGTTATCTGAAAATAATATCTACATGGATTACTGACTATGGTATTTGTTTTCTTATCCTGTAAATGTATGTATTTATCCAACCTTTCTTTCCATAGTGTCTTTTCTGCCTCCTATATAGTTACTGCTATAGAGACCCAAACTATTCAAATATTGGCAGATAACATATTGTGATGAAGAGAAAGATAGTTGTATGTAAATGTTTTGATTCTTGATACCTAAGATGTAAGAGTAAATACAAATTTAAGTGGCTTAATTCAATCTATGAAAAATAAGGGAAGAGATAGCCTACCTTCCCTTTTTTTAGACATTTACTTTAGAAATCTTGTGGTTATATTCCTTCTGTCTCTTTGAAATGTATGTAAATCTTTTTGAAACCCTCTTGTTATTTTTACAATCCAGGGATATCCTCCTCTAGGATCTGGAAATCATCTCTTTGAAATGTAATTGGTAAGGAAGATAGTACTCCTATATCCCAGTTTCTGTGGGCAGATAGGAGGAGCCCAACCTTGGCCACGTTGCAGAACTACCTCCTGTCATTAAGGTAAGAATTTAATTTGTCTTTGGGTAAATTCAATTAACTAACACAATAAGTCATCTCAATTATCAGGTGAATTTAGAATGAACTATGTGTGACAAATGATGCTGTCAAGTCCTCTTCCTTGAACAATAGTTATTATTTACCTTGATAACACATATGAAATGCATTGTATCTGCTTCTCTCTGTAAGTGAGATTTCCTTCTGCCTTTGCAGTCTCTTAGTGGATTGCCAATTATGCTCATCATATTCTGGTGTAATGTTTATTCAGTAAGTATTTTCTCTCCCACCTTTGTGGAAATGTTCTGGAAATGTTTTTCTGGATTGGCAGGAGGTTTTGTTTATATATTTCCCCAACAAAGATGAACACAGATATTATCCATTCATTGAACCATTTATATTTTTTTTGAGAGAGAAAGAGCCTGTGTGTGTGTGTGTGTGTGTGTGTGTGTGTGTGTGTGTTTGCACATGCACACATGTTTTTGGACAGGCAGAGGAAAAGGGAGAACAAGAATATCAAGGCAGGCTCCACACTGCCAGTGCAGTCTGATGCAGAGCTTGATCTCACCACTGTGAGATTGTGACCTGAGCCAAAATCAAGAGTTGCACACCCAACGACTCATATTTTTGAAATGTTGCTTGGGGCACCTGGATGCCTCAGTTGGGTAGGCATCTGATTCTTGATTTTGGCTCAGGTCACGATCTCACAGTTCGTGAGTTTGCGCCCTGTGTCGGGCTCTGCACTCACAGTCCAGAGCCTGCTTGGAATTCTCTCTCTTCCCCTCTCTGCCTCTACTCATGCTGTCTCTCTCTCTCTCTCTTTCAAAATAAATCAACAAAACTTTAAACAATGAAAATGATAAAGTATTCTTGAATGTCCAAAAACTATTTTAAAATAAAGTAATGAAAATCTCTATATATGCATATATCTACTGAATCATTTGAACTGTTATAAGTAAAAAACAGTAGATTATCATCAATTTCATGTGTTACAACATAAATTATGTAACTATAGAGAAATGTGTGGAAGATTAACCTGTTAAAATCAACTAATTAGTTGGGGAAAGATTATTACATTTTATTTTATATATCCCATATTTTATATCTTGTTGAAATAAACTTGTATTATGCTTTTCTCTTATTTTACAAAGAATGAAATGACTAGGCAACAATGTTGATTACATTTGCAACATAAACATTAATCAATGCACAGACACTTTCCCTTTATACATAAATATATACACACAGACATATGTATACATATGTATACATACATATATATGTATAATGACATATGCTACTTTCAGATTATATCCTTAAAAAATGCTGTTTGTCCTTCATTTCCTTCTTTCCTTTTCCACTGGCCAGGAAATGGCAATAACTTTATTACATATATCTTTTACATATATAAAAAGATATATCTTACAAGTTAGGCTATGTAAATATGTGTTAAATAAAAAATGCATGAATAAATGAATGACAATAGTCAGAGAAGGTTTTTGAGGAATAGTGATGATTTAAAGAAGCTAAACTGGAATGAACTGACAGATGTTTGAGGGTAGAAAAATAGAAACAGTATAAATAAAAAAAATTTTTAAGTTTGGCCAATAATAAGGCAGGTAAAGTATCAGTTTAATATCAGTTTAAAAAGACCTTTTTGCACAGTAGACTCTAATAGTAGTATCTTGAGAAACTCAACAGAAGACCATTGGGGAAGGGAAGGGGAAAAAATAGTTATAAACAGAGAGGGAGGGAGGCAAACCATAAGAGACTGTTAAAGACAGAGAACAAACTGAGGGTTGTTGGGGGTTGGGGAAGGGGGAAATGGGTGATGGGCATTGAGGATGGCACTTGTTGGGATGAGCACTGGGTGTTGTGTGTAAACCAATTTGACAATAAATTATATTTAAAAAATAAAAAGAGATCTTTTTGTAGTTGTGAGTTCCCGGAGCAAGCACATTTGCATGTTTATTAACAGTATTTTTGGTGGCATAGAATTGAAGAGGCAGACAGGATAACTAGAAGCTGCAGATCACTGAGAAAGCAGGTCCTAGTCTTCAACTGGTTCATACAGAGATCCTATATTATTATGAAAAAGAAAAGGCTTCAAATGTAGGTCTGTTTGCAAATTTGTTGGAGGACTAAGAGGATCTCTGCTGATGATGACTTTTCTGTTTCTGTGAGGGATGGAGAGAAGATAAGATGCATCTGTCATTAATGCTGAAGTGACTCTTGCTGAGCTTAGTATCTTCACAAGCAGAGATGGTATCTTACATTCTTTCAAAGTTAAAACTTTTAGTTGTCATTTGCATATTTGGCTAATAATTCCAAAGCCTAGTCATTTAACCAGCTTACCTAGGAAAGATGGTTTTTGCACTTAGTTACACATCACCAAATAAGCTTTATCTGGCCATCCCTGGTGCTGATCACAGATCAGCAGCCTTTTCTCCCCTTTTCCTCTTGGTGAGTTCCTAGTTAGCGTCCTTGGTTTTCTTCCCTCAGTTGGGTCCACAGAAAGGAGATGAATTCTGGATTCTTTTTTCCCCAGAGGCTCTGTATCTATTGGTGTTCAGTGAGGAAACTAGAAAAAAATCCATCTATTTCACAGAACAAATGGCTTAATAGAGGGGATTAAAAAAAAACATTAAAAGGTTGGGAACAAAGAGGTTAGGGAAGCCACTGTATCATTTAGGAAACCAGAAAATGTTCAGATTATAAAAAATCAATGCCACTGATTTCACTGCCTCCTGCATTAAAGCAGGTGATTTCCTTGGAGGACACCAGGAAGCTGCTAGAAAAGCGTTGGTAATTGCCATCCACAGCCATGAGAATAATAATTGCTTTTGCTTTTCGTATCCCTTCCAGAATTATACTAGTGCCTCTCATTGGCAGAATCTAACCTAAGACCATACTGGCAGGATTCTTGAAAATGTAGTTCCCAGGCTTTCAGCTCCTATGATAAAAGGAAACCAGAGAAGAAGGAAAATGGGGCAGAGTGGCCAACTCAGTTTCACACAATCCAGCACATTTCTCAGCCAGATTACTCACATTCTTTCCCAGGGAGCAGTTCCCATTTGACCTACAGTAGGAGATGCTGAGTATGTGTTCTCTGAACGAAACAGTGCCAATTCAGGGGAGACCCCAGTACAAATTTATGCCAGTGAGTTGAAGCTAGTAAAGCATTAGAGGGCAAGGTTGATTTGCCTCTAGTTGCCGTTATCACACAGCTCCTTAGCAGCAGCCCAAAGGGCATGGCAAATTAGTGTAGGAGTCATTTGTAGAGTTGCCAAGCAGAAACTTAGTAATCTATCTATGCTTCTCCTGACCTCCACCAAGTTGTCTGAAAGCCAAAATAGGGGGAAAGGAAGTACTGATTTCAAACACTGAACAATTGCCTTCAAGAATAAGTTACACTTCTCCTTCTCTAAAGGTAGCTCTGTTGTGTGTAATAATTTAGTGAAAACAATTTGTAAGAAAGGTCAAAATAAAAACTTTATAGATGAGATTGCTTTGAAGATTTTGACTTAAAGCAACTTTGTGAACTAATACTGTATGAAAGTAGAATTTTAAGAAAGTTTGAGCAGGATGCAAACAGTATCTTTACTCGGGATAGTATACTAAGTAGTCCACAAGGAAGCATTACAGTTAAACTTAGTAGAGAAACTTTGGGAAAGCTGAGAATGCTATAATAAAATCAGTGAGTTTTATGAAACCATGATCAACCTCTTCAATTTTATGAAATGTCAAGAATTTTTTATTTCCAGATTTAAATCTCGATGTCTTAGATATGTTGCCACTTACTTCTTCCACAAGTATATTGGCAAGCATACCAAATAACTATCTTGCTTTGCAGGAGCCTCATTTTATTTCTGTTTAGGAAAAAGTCCCGATTCTAAGAAGAAGATGGAGATCATAAGAGGACCATTAGTTGCTTAAATTGAGACTGATGGAAAAAGAAATGGAAGACTTAAAACATTTTTTAGTTTTAGGAGAAACTGAAATTTAAAGGTCATGCTTGGCAATGTTTGAACTTCTGTCTCAGTAAAATACACAGTTTAAAACCTCTGAAGTACAACACATATAGCTTTTAAAACATGGAGAAGGAAAAATAAAAGTCTCCGAAACTCTCACCTTTTTTGTTTTCACAGTGGAATAAATTTTCCATTTGTTTGTACTCTGCAGCCTAAGAAATGTAAAAGTCCTGTTTTTTATAAAAGGTTACTTCTAAACTTATAAATGTAAAAGGTAATTTTTCAAAAATTGAGAATTTCTTTATTAGTTAACTGTCCTAAAATCTTGTGTAAGAGATTTTATAATTTAAAATCAACACCTATTTAATCTGAAATATATATCATAATCATACAATAATATATATCATATATGTATGCATTGCCCATTTTATTTAAAAATATTTAGCAGCAATAGTTATTATTTTAATTTAATTGCAAAATACTTTAAATGTTGTGCAAAGTGCATAAGTGAAAGGAAATGCATATTATTAGTTCCTATCAGGTAACCATGACCATGAAAAGACAAGCTGCTTAACCCAGAAGAGATTTCTAATTTTATCTAATACTTTCAACAAAAGTATGTAGAATTAAATAAGTTTTGACTGAGGTTAGAAAATCTAACTTAAGGGGCGCCTGGGTGGCTTAGTCGGTTAAGCGTCCGACTTTCGCTTTGGTCATGATCTCACGGTTCGTGGGTTTGAGCCCCGCGTTGGGCTCTGTGCTGACTGCCAGCTCAGAGCCTGGAGCCTGTTTCAGAGTCTGTGACTCCCTCTCTCTCTGGCCCTCCCCTGCTCACGCTGTCTCTCTCTCTCTCTCCTAAGAAAGAAATAAAACATTAAAAAAAAAAAAAAGAAAATCTAAGTTAAATTGAGGGTGTTATGCTGAGCGAAATAAGTCAGGCAGAGAAGGACAAATACCATATGTTTGCATGTATAGGAGGATTAGGAGGAACTTAACGGAGGACCGTGGGGGAGAAGAAAGGGGGAAATAGTGGGG